GGAGCCTCCCAGCAGAGCCATAACCCATGCACAAACGCAGTGACTCCGGAACTACCTTTTCACATAAACTGCCTTCAGTTTCTGTCGTTTTTTCTATATAATTTGCAAAATATCATGTCTGCCTGGGGTCGTGTTCAGACAAAGCTCAGAGCTCGGCTGGCAGGTACCTGACTGGTTCAGAGCCTGAGCTGCACCAGTAAGGACACATTCCTGGCAGTTCAGGCTCCTGCTCTTGGGAAAGAAGATGCAGCAACCTGGGACTGGTTGGCCCAAGGAGACCACAGGAAGGAAGGGTCTGATCCCCATGCTCCCAGGCAGTGTTCTGTGCATTTGTCCATGCAGTTTTACAGGTGGCTTTGTTTGGAAGAGGCACCTTCCATTTACATGATGATCAGAGCAAGCAATGGACTTTATAGCTCTGTTCTTGGACCAGATGCAGGGGCCCATGCAACCAGAGCCCTGAGCCGTGGTCCCTCTCTTCACAAAGCCACCTACCCCCTTCCTTTTTCCATCCCCTGAATTTGGGTACCCAAGCCTCTGCTGAAGTCCCCTATGGCAGAACAGGGTTGGGACCATAGAGCCAAGGCTCTGATGAGCTGCACAGGGGCCCATGCTGATGCACAGCAGGGCTGGAGCATCAGGATGCTGGGGAAGTAAGAGAGCAGCTCAGCGCAGCATCCTCGGAGGAGACAAAGGCACTTTGGGAATTGCACAGACTTGGATTAGCATCAAGAGACTGCACAAAACACTTCAAATGAAACATGCTGATGCAAACGGATGCCACTTGAGGAGCAAGGCTGGCAGAACAGCAAAGACTGCCTGGCCCTAAAAGGGTGAAACAACCCTTCTATGAGCTATGGGGGAGAGATTTCCCGCTTCCTTCTTCCTGCCTTCATTGCCCACGGTGCACTTTGTATTAATCTTCTGTTCTTTTTTCTCCCATAGGAAATCCAGCTCTCCAGAGGATTCCGTAGGTTCCAACTCTTCTCTGCATTTACAGACTACTCTAATTACCCGGATAATAGGGCAGCACACTGGGAAAGGCTGTGGTAAGAACGTTTCCTGTGAGGCAAGGTTAGGCAGATAGAATGCCTGGAGCCAGAGGGTTTGGATCCAGCCCTTCTGGGAGACGTTTTTAATTTATTAGTGCTATTTTCTGAAAAGAAATTAAAAGGTTTTTAAATGAATGGAGATTTGCTCTTCCCAAGTGATTTATCTCCTTTGTCTGACGAGTGGAGGAGCTGCCAGGGGTGCGCATGGGGAGGGAGAAGTCAGAGAGATAGGAAGCAGCAGGGTCATCTTAGGCAGAGGGGATGAGCGAGGGCTGTGGGGCCAGTCTGAGCTGGTTCCCCATCACATTCATGCCAGAGATGGGCTGGAGATGCCTGAACAATCAGAAGAGCAGCAATTTGGGGGCAGATCGTTGCTCTCTTGGCCGTAGCCCTGAGGTCTTCAGCATTATGGCCTGGTCTTGGAGGGCAGTGTTCATTTCTCACCCCTGCCTTGCCCAGGGAGGCACCTCGGTCCTGCTGCAGGGTGGGGAGATGGGACACTGGTGAGACACGTTTTTGCTCTTTGCCAGCATCAGGGTCTTGTCTGGTTGCATGTGCCAGGGCAGAAGGAGCCCTGGCCCCTGTTTTAGTTCAGCCCAGGCTCCATGTGTGTAAGGGACTTGGCCATGTCCATGCACAGGACCACTGAGAGGCCCATAACTCTTACTTTTACATTTCTCCCTTTGTTTCAGCAGCTCAAAATCAAGCCCTGAGCAGGTGCTGGGGGATGTGTGGTGGCTTTTGATGCAGCCCAGGACATGGCTGGTCTCTGGGCTCAAGCACACACCAAAACTGGCTCATGTTCAGTTTCTCATCAGCTGATACCCCAGGTCCTTCTCAGGCTGCTCTGAATCTCTTCTCTGCCCAGCCTGTGGCTGTGCCTGGGATTGCCTTGACCCAAGGGCAGCACCTTGCCCTTGGCTTGGTTGAACTTCATGAGGTTGGCATTGGCCGCCTCTCAAGTGTGTCAAGGCCATGGCATTGGGAGAAGGCTAAAAATTGGCAGGTTATCACCCACTTCAACCATCTAATACCTGCTTTCTTCCCACAACCCTCTGGGGTTGCTCTGTTTCATGACTCAGGCTTATGGGAGCTGGTGAGGGAACCTCACTACGTTTCAAGGCTATTTTGAAACACTACTGGGACGATGTGCTGGTGTTGGACCCACCTGGTGGGTGCTGCGCATCAACCTGCCCCTCACCAGCACGGAGCTGCTCTTGTTCTGTATCTGGCAAAGCTGACTTGTCACAGTAGCTGCAGGTCAATGCAGGGGAAACGTGAAGTCATTCATCTGCCTTCACTTTGCCTCTTTCTAGATTTGCTGATCTCCTAAAATACCAGGGCCAAACCCTCTCCAAGAGCAGAGATGCTCCCCTGGGTCCTGCTTTTGCAGAATGGTAGAACCGGGGGTAGGGATGCGACATGGATGTGTATAAGCATCTTGCCCATTGCCAAGACCTGCATGGAGAAATGGGTGCGGATTCTTTTTCAGCTCTGGCTGCATTTGATAAAAGCAGAAGTTTCCCTCTCTAACTGGATATGGAAAGAAACATTTCCCTTAGGGAAACAGGTTCTTGCACCTAAAACTTCCCAGGCTTTGCTGGAAAGCCCCAGACAATTTTTGTCTCCTTTGAACGTCTTCAGCTATTGTGCCTGGTTTGTAATCAGCATCTGGCCACAGACACTCGTTTTAGTAACCCTGGAGAAGTTTTGGTCTTCACCAAACTCTTCCCATCTTGCTGTTTTCCAGGAGGTAACGCCTACGGGGTAACTGGGAGCACAGTTTGGCCTCCACAAGCCAAGAAAATGTGCTAAGTGCTGTCAAGAGAACGTAATCACAGTTTGAGTTGCAGGGTATGTGCGGAGCCTCTAACAGCCCCCACATGCACAGGAGCTGGAGCTGGTAGGTAGGTGCAGCTCTAGAAGCTTGGCTGGGCTGTTGCAGCCAAATGCTTGGCTGTTTTTGGGCACAGAGCTTGGCCAGCTCTGGTCAGCAGGGCAGATGGGAGCTGGCCATGAACAGGATGGGGATGGTTCCAGTGGCAGGAGCAACAAAGGCTTGGAGTACTTGCTGGCCTGGAGGTGAGAATTAGGTTAGGAGGAGCAAAAGGCCCCTCACTGCCTCCTGAGGACACTCCAGTGTGACCAGATGTGGAGGGGAGTCTGGAGAGCTCATCCACAGCCCCGTGCTCTGAGCTGCGGGTGGCTCGTGGAGGATGGGGGCTGTGGGATCCTCACAGGGCAAATCCAAGCCCTGTGGAGCTCTGCTCCAAGGGCACAACCCCTGGGGGTCCCAGGGCTGCCTGGTCATGCACTGCCGCAGAGCCACGTCCCTGCAGTGCTGTGCAGTCTGGTCCCTGCGGGCACTGAGAGCAGGAGAGGCAGATGCTGAGCTCCCCTGAGCACTGGGTGGCATCTCAGATGGGCAACAGGAGGCAGAGAAAGTGATAGAGCAGGAGCAGAGAGGAAGAGAGGGAAGATGAGCTTTCAGCACCAGCATCTGTGGAAACTGAGTTATCCCCCAGGGAAATGGAAGCCCTTTCCAGCAGTAAATAAGGGGGCAGCTGCTTCCCTGCAGCCCCATCCTGCTTGGGATGAGCAGCAGGGTGGTTTTATTCACCTTGGCTGAATAATTAGGTTGCTCTGATGTAGGCTGTGATGCTGCTGCATGGTCTGCCTGTGCTTATAGCTCAAACAGGGTTTTCTTCCATCAGCAAGTCCTCCACTCCCTCCTGCAAACTGCCTGCCTTTGTGCTGCCTGGGTGACACGACTCTGCCCTCGTGTTTGCCTCTACCCACCAGCAATGCCTGGGCACAAAGCCAAGCCTGCACAGCGATGGGGGAGATCCGTGGGTCACCAGAGGAGACAATCCATCAGGATCCCTTCCTGCATCATCCCTGGCATGGTTCAACCTCTCCCCAGCTGAGCCCTTCTGGGTGGCCCCAGTATGTGCCAGTCTGAAAGTAAGAGACAATGCGTGTCGTGGTCCTGCCCCCCAGGAGGGTGTCTAGGGACCAAGGGCTGGCCTGATGCTTCCACTCTCAACCCATCACTGCTGCTGGCACCGTGCTGGGCACAGAGGGGCCCTGTCTCCTTGAATGCTGGCAAGCATCACCTCTTTTCGCCATGACCCAGACCCCCTAGGTCTCCTTGGCAAGGAGCAAGGGCCTGACTCTGACCCCAAGGCCTGCATGAAGGGACATGTTCTACACAATTGAAGGCAACAGGCATCTCTTCCAGTTCTCTCAGAGCCTTGGTTTCTTTGCTTGCTTGATTATGTCCCCTCCTAGTCCAATGCATGACACATGAGACCCAAGTAATTCATACTGCAGTTAAAAGGCATGGTGCATGCAAGGCAAGACCATCAGGTTTAATTCTCTTTGAGCTCAGGGTGACCCATCTGCTGCTAATGAAGATGTGTCCCAGAGGAGAGTTCCTTCCTGCTTTCCACCTGTGTCCTGACGGACTGCCTGAACATGATGCCAAGTGACATGAGAGACCATCTCAAAGAGAGATTCGCAGGTTCTAGAGGATTTTACCAGCCGTGAACTCAAGTTGGTAAACCCACACACTTTGGGCTGGCGTTTAGGAAGCTTTTGGACCAGGTGAATTGGTGAGGAGGTGGAGACCTCCCTGAGCAGGGCAGGCATGCAAGCTCTCTGGATGGCACTTGTGTCCATGGCCCCAGAGCCCCCTCACAGACAATACCCACATGTGCAGACCCCTCTGCAGCAGTAGCACAGCTGGACCAGCTTGCACAGATGCAGGGGGAAAGTCCAGTCTGCCATCACCCATGAAGCATCGTGCCTTGGGCATCTGCTTGCTGGGCTGATGCCCTCAGTGTGAGGTGAGGAGTGGATGTGCACTGGGGCTCTTTCCTGCGGGCACTGATGGAGGGGATGAACGTACAAAACTCTACAGGGTAGAGAAGAAAAGAGGGGACTCACAGGGTTTCCAAGCTGTGCAGCCCATCGAAGCCGTTGGCTCCCAGGCTTTGGATCCGGTTGTTGTGCAGGTGCCTGTGGACAAAACAATCATGGTCAGTGGAGGTGCGCGCTGACCTGTCCTGCCAGTCTGAGCCATGGCCCAGGGACGTCCTGCAAGCTGAACCCAGCCTGTGTTGGGATGCGGGGTGTTCTAAGGTCTCCTCTCCTGCCCCATGAGACACATGCTGGGTGCTTGCAGAGCAGCTACAGAGCTCCCGTTTCTCCCAAGCAACCCAGCCTGAGGTAGGAGCTTCCCCGAGACCTCCACTTTCACAGCTGCCAGGTGGCTTTGGATGAACATGGTTAAGCAAGAAGCTTCAAGAAGCACCCTAGACCTCACCTTACATTGGGCCTAACCTTACAAAGTGCTGGGTGGCTTCAACGGTTGCTCATGGGCACAGAGTACTATTGAAGGACACAGTCGTATCTGGACTCCTCAGAGCCTTCGTAGTGGCAAGAAGGCTTTGAGCCCAAAATCATCCTGTTGGGCCCAGTTCATTATCTTGCAATGACCTGAATAAGTTGCCAGTGCCTGGATTAGCTCCAGTTTGGTTGCAAGGAAAGTTGCCTCACTTTAATGCTCCAGAGTGCAGGGGCCACGTGAGATGCACGCACATTCTCTACAGTAAGACAACATATTTTCCCCTTGTTCTCATTCATCGTGGTGCTACACGTCATGAATATCTAGTGCTTAAGGGCTGTGGAGCTCCCAGCCTTAATGTTGGGGATGTAAAGCCACGTGCTGGGGCCAGCTGGGGTACTTTTGCCTTGAAAGCTCCATAGGCGATGAGCTCCTGGAGTCTCATCTGCTGGGTTTTCCGTTGTCAGGGGTCCCTTACTCCCATGGCTCAGGTTTTTGGAATATCAGGAAGAGCTGGAGTCTTCCTCTCTGATTGTCAGAAACCTTTTTTTTGTGTGTGTGTGTGTGTGTGTGTGCAGTGAGTGGTTTTGCCATCCGGCTTCCTTTACAACTGCTGGGTGCTGTGTTGTTAATATCGCATCTCCCTTCGAAACCCCACTCAAGGGCTCTCTGAAGTCCATATAGAGAGCAGCTTGAGGAATGTGCTGCAAAACAGGCTGCACTTCTCCCAGCCTAGACTTAAGCACATTGTTATGTCCATGCTTGCTATGGTCTTTATGGAGAAATGCCCACCGAGGACACAGGGTCCTATGGGGCAGGGCCTTTTTCATCTCTCCCAAAGCAGGCTTCCCCACTGTTCATTTTACAGTTTGGGTTCTCCTTTAACACAGAGTCCTGTGTGGTGAATCTGTTGCCGCACCACTTGCCTCTGGGGTCCTTTTCTCCCTTCCCCATGCTCAGGGATGCACCAGCCTTTGTCCAACGCTGCTGCCTCCTTCCAAGAGCCCTGGGGAGGCTCCATGCTGGCAGATGGATCAATGACTGTTTCCTTATTTGCTGCTTGATCTAAATCTGTCTCTGCTTGAAAAATCTCTCACTCCACCTGGATTCAAGCGTGAGCTGTTTGGCTGAGCGCAGGCAGCTCCCACTGCCAAATATTCTAGGGTAAAATAGGAGGGAACTGGGAGTGGAGGAGCAGCCAGGCTCTAGGGCAGGTTGGTAGGGGCTTGCAAAACAGAAACCAGCCCAAGACGGATGTTTGTCATTGGGATGAGAACATACAAACATTTCAGAGGAAGGGGAAGGGAGGGGAGAGATGTGTGATAAAGAATGTTTGCTCCTTGGAGCAAATGGGAAGAAAGAAAAGGATGCTGCCTGCAAGAAACCTTGGTTTGATTGTGACTCTTAGAGGGGAAAAGAAGCTAAGCTCAAAATCAGAATCTTACAGGAGAAAGTTCTCTTTATCACAAGGAGTTCAAGTCCAGATGATTTTCTCTGTCAAATACTATGGGTTAGCTCCAGATCGTGTTGCCAGTGCAAGATGGTACCAAGTGCAAGGTCCTACACCTGGGTCAGAGCAATCCCAGGCACAGCTACAGGTTGGGCAGAGAAGAGATTCAGAGCAGCCCTGTGGAGAAGGACTTGGGGGTGTTGGTTGATGAGAAAATGAACATGAGCTGGCTTCAGTGTGCGCTTGCAGCCCAGAAAGCAACCGTATCCTGGGCTGCATCAAAAGGAGCGTGACCAGCAGGTCATGGAGGTGATCCTGCCCCTCTGCTCTGCTCTCGTGAGACCTCACCTGGAGCATTGTGTGCAGTTCTGGTGTCCTCAACATAAAAAGGACATGGAACTGTTGGAACAAGTCCAGAGGAGGCCACGAGGATGAGCAGGGGCTGGAGCAGCTCCTGTATGAAGATAGGCTGAGAAAGTTGGGGCTGTTCAGCCTGGAGAAGAGAAGCTGTGTGGAGACCTCAGAACAGCTTCCAGTGTCTGAAGGGGGCCTATAGGGATGCTGGGGAGGGACTCTTCATTAGGGACTGTAGTGATAGGACAAGGGGGAACGGGTTAAAACTGGGGAAGTTTAGGTTGGATATAAGAAGGAAATTCTTTCCTGTTAGGGTGGTGAGGCACTGGAATGGGTTGCCCAGGGAGGTTGTGAATGCTCCATCCCTGGCAGTGTTCAAGGCCAGGTTGGACAAGGCCTTGGGTGATATGATTTAGCGTTAGGTGTTCCTGCCCATGGCAGGGGGGTTGGAACTGGATGATCTTAAGGTCCTTTCCAACCCTAACGATTCTATGATTCTATGATTTTGGGTCCCTTTGAGCACTGGCTACTGCAAATAGAGGGTTTGGATCTGGAATCTACAATCACAGCAAGAGGTACCACAGAAACCCCTCACCCCATACCTCTGCCTGCTGCAAGTGGACAGTGTGGGGGGAAAGGAAATGTTGAATGCTGGGCAAGGTGTGAGCTACGAGGAGCCTTGTCGGGGTGGTACAACGGGACGCGCCAAGCAGTTGAGTGCTATCACTCAAGTCAGGCAACAGGATAGGAAAGTAATGGCCTCCTGTGTTGATATCTGGCTCAAAAGTGCTTTGTTTGGAGGCGAAGTGATCAAACTCATCAGAAGGAAGTTATTTGTTGGTGAGAAAACGATGAGCAACCAGAAAAGAGTTATAAAAAGATTTGCTGTCCAAGCTGAGCTCTGGGGCTCTTCACCAGCCACATGGCAAGAATAGAAGCAAAAGAGCTGGAAAGGTAAACACTTGGATAGAGGTCCCTTCCTTCCACCCTGCCTCTTTTTCTTCCTCCCCTGGTAAACAAACTTCAACAGTGGAATTGCAACATCTCCAGGGTTTGTCAATTTGAGCTCAGCCCACGGACGTTCTATTCTGCCCTGTAAATTACAGCTGGTTTGATAGCAGCTCGAGATGCTCGGTTCTGGGCTATAAACAGCCCTCTTGTGATGCAAAAACATGACCAGGCTTTAAGCCCTTGCTATTCCTGTTGGAGCTGGTATCCAACAGTTTCTAGAAGGAAGATTTTCTGCCCTTGACAACAATTTCTTATGACAGACTGGGCATAAATGTAATTTCCCCAATTTATCTGATTTGAACTGGTGAAACTGGCTTGGAAGGGTAAATGTATTTCTGGTACGCACATTGTTAACCGGATGTTGTTAATTTGGAATGGGTGCAGAGAAGAGCAATAAAAATGATCCAAGGGCTGAAAAAAACGAGGATGGAGACTTTGAGTGCTCAATCTGTTTAGCTGAATAAAAATAAGATGATGTGTGCAGTGTAACGTATAGGATTCTTCCTAGTTAGAAAATGGGTACTAAAATGGTTCTGTGATTTAGTGGAGAAAAGAATAAGAACAAATGTCTGAAGTCAAAGCCAAAGAAAACTCAAATGGGAAGTCTGAGCCTTTCTTTTAACACTAAAGATGGTTGGAACAAAGTACAAAGAGAAGTGGTGGATTCTCCATCCCTTTCTTTTCTAATGATTTCAGTTTTTCTTCTCAGAAAGGACAGATGCAAGTATTTTCCAACAGTTATTTGCATTAGATGATTTGAACTGAGTTCAAATCTGACATGATATGAATTCTCCCACTGGACCAGCCAGTGCCATGATGAATTTCCAGCTCTATTGTGGCAAAATTGTCCTTTTCCTCAACTTGGCCATGGATAAGTAGAGAAAACTAAATCATAACTGGTGCAAATTCCCACGGATTATTTCTGGCAGTGAAGGAATAGCATGAGACTTGTCTGGGGCAGAACAAAGCTCCATCATAAGTGACATTCTCAGGGGTGCATTGGAGCGCTATTTGCTTCTTCCTCAAGTGCTGAAGAGGGAAATTCACCTTTGCCAAGGCAGCAGGCTTGGTCCTCAGAGAGAAAAAGCTCTTTTGCAAATTGAACAGCCCATGAATGGGACCCAGATGTTCCAGGAGACATCGTTCTTAGTAATAATGAGCTGCACATGCCTGGCACTCTCTGCCAACACCGAGGGTCCCAAGAGGGACTTGTTAACTCCCTTGTGCAGGTGACGGTAGCGATGCACAGGCTTACCCTGACACTGATCTACCAGACTGGGGTTTGCTATCCTGGGGAGCTCAGAGTGCCACAGAGTATCTGAAGGGGGCCTATAGGGATGCTGGGGCGGGACTCTTCATTAGGGACTGTAGTGACAGGACAAGGGGTGATGGGTTCAAACTGAACCAGGGGAAGTTTAGATTGGATCTAAGGAGGAAGTTCTTTCCTGTGAGGGTGGTGAGGCACTGGAATGGGTTGCCCAAAGAAGCTGTGAATGCTCCATCCCTGGTGGTGTTCAAGGCCAGGTTGGACAGAGCCTTGGGTGTCATGGTTTAGTGTGAGGTGTCCCTGCCCATGGCAGGGGGGTTGGAACTTGATGATCTTAAGGTCCTTTCCAACCCAAACTATTCTATGATTCTATGATTCCATGTCAGCTGAAGCTGCTGGTGCTCAGCTCTCCTGGAAAGCAGGGATGAGATGTTTGATGTTTGCTCCCAGGCAGGGAGAACACTGGAAATCCTTGGTCCTTTCTGAAAGTTATGGCCAGAGTAACATCAGAACATGGACCAAAACTGGCATGGGAACACAGGGGTCTTGAAACTAATTTTCTCCTCTAGTCACTAGATCATACTGTTAGAGACAGAGCTGCATCATGTCCTTACTTGCATCATGTCCTTACTTACATCATGCCCATGATCAAAACTGTAAGAAAGAAAAATTCTACTAAATATCCAACATTTGCTGTATTCAGACATCAACACATTCAGCTGGGAGGTCTTGACCTAGGAGGGAACCACTTGCAGGTGAGTGGCTTGTCCTCACCCATAAAGCATCAGCTGAAATCCAGGTTGCATAAATGTAAAGTGCTGGGGAGGGGAGGAAAGCCAGTCATCTAGGAGCATATGCAGTAACAGGCTTTGCATATCTAAAGGAAGGGGGTGTTGGTGTTTTGTAGCTGCCAACAAAGCAAATCAAATGGTTAGGGGTGACTAGAAAAGAGGAAATGTGCTGCAGAGCAGCATTATGTCATTGTATAAACTGGCATGAATTCCTGCCTTTGCTACAGTGTGTGGTTCTGAGGGCTCCATCTCAAAGGTGTGGAGGAACAAACAAGTGTGGTATGTAGAGTAGCTTCTGATTGCAAAACAGCTGATGGGATGGGGACTGGAAAAGCTGCGATGAGGGAAGGGTATGAAACAGTGATAAATACAGAGATGGCATAGAGGAGGTAGAGGCAGAGTGCAAGAACTGGAGGATGTGAAGCCAAACTAACTGGCAGTGGCATGAAAACAACTTTCCTAGAGTCCTTTTATTCGAAAGGCTTGTGTGCAGGTAGACAAAGTCAGGCCAGGTAAGACAAGCAGAGCATCTTCGTAGCATTATGGGGACAAGTTAACCCAAGCTCACTGCATGTGAGGCAGCAAATGTCCTTTTGACAGCAGCATGTTCAGCATTGCAAGGACGTTTGAGTAAGTCCATGTGAGAGTTTACTGCAGGGCTCAAAGACCCCTCTGGGGACCAGGGCTCAAAGAGGTGCTGTGATGCCTGTTTTGAGAGTTGACTTTGCTGAGATCAGTCAACAGAGGAGATGAGGAATGCTAACAAGAGCTGCTGTCATGCACTTTATCAGCCTGTCAGCACAGCAGCATGGGGGTTTCAGATGCTCGCTTCTAAATGAAAAATCTTCTTTTGCCCCAAGAAAGAAGATTTTTTTTGCAAAAAAACCCTTTGCTCATACAAATCATCAGCTGAAAAATATTCAGAACTATTTCTGCTTGCAGATGCTGAGACATATTCAGTCCTGAATAGATCAGACTTGGAGGTAATATCTTCAGCATCCTATTCCCGAGCCACCCTGATCAAACAAGCCGTCTCCCTTCTGCCATCAGCAGCGCAGTGCCAACATCACAGCACATGAAGCCGTTGTTATCAAAGCTGAGGGAAGGATGGTGCCAATTACTGAGACTCAGATTTCATCACGAGTGATTTACACAGGGCTCTGCTTACTGAACACCCTGCAGCTCTAGTTAGAAACCTGCAGCAGCAATAGATGGGAATAAGATCAGTGAATTCCTCAACAGAAGTGTAATTTATTAGCAGAGACCGAACCCCTTAACTTATTCCAGATTGAGGCTGGCATATCCTGATGTTGGTGCTTTGTGTCGGTGCAGGATGAACATCCACGTCTCTCTCAAAGGCCCAAGGTGTGTGGAGGAGGAAAAGCACATCTCTGCATCCAGGAAAGTCATGCATGCCGTCAGCCATGTCCGAGCGTTAATCAGGCTGTGTATGGGAGATTCCCCTGTGCTCCTCCACATCTGCCCTTGGCTCTGCTCCCCCAGCTGGTCATTCGGATACCTCTTCAGGCTAGAAGCTTCCCGACGTTAGGGCAGCAGCCGGCTCTTCTCCATCCACATGGAAATTCAGAGGTGGAGAAACCCGTGTAGGTTCCTATAGGCACCTATGCATAGGAACCTATGCAGAGGAATGTGCATAGGTGCCCTCTGCATCCTGGTAGGAAAGATCTCCTCATGGACTTTACTGCTGAGCTGTGCCGGCTTCTCAGCTTGGTGGGCAAGGCTGAAGCAGGGAAGCATCCTTGGTTGGGGTGCTGGAGAGGCACTGGGTGACTTTCCACTGGCTGCCACTGACAAGGGTGTGCATGGAAGCTTGGGAGAGATTTATGGGCCCGGTTCTGCCAAACACTTGTGATCCCACAAAAATTTCTCGTCGTGTCTCACAGTGCCTGGCAGGATCACACATGTGTTCCCTTCCAATTGTCTGTGGTGGGACATTATTCTCTCCCTTGTGGCCTAGCGGTCAATGACTTTTATTTCTTGAGCTTGCCTGTTTAATTAAGGAGTTGCTTCTCACCCAAAGTATGGGATAAGCCAGAATGAAAGCAGCATGCTTTTGAGGCTGAAAATAAAACCCCAAATGTCAGCTCACCCGCCGGGCTAGCTATTAAAGCTGAATGAAGTGGTTGCATTATGATGGTCATGGGATGCCTTGTAGAAGGAGCACTATTGTGGGTGAAAACTACTTATTTGACATTTCTCAAGTTGCTTTTAGCATTTCTCCTAAATAAGCCTTTATGCTTTGTCTAAACAGCTGAAGTTGATGCTTAATAAAGCTCTAGACTGTGCTTTGTCCAAGCACTTTCTGTGCTCTATGGCTTCAGTAAACACTTCAGATTTTGAAAGCAAAGTAATTGGTAAACTTTCACTGAGGCACCACATGCTGAGGCTACTTAATACCCTGCTATCAATACATATCGCAGAACTCAATGGTAGCATTTTAGGTGTGTATAGGAGCTCAAAAGCAGCTGGCAATCACACCTGAATTTGCTAATCAACACCAAAAATTAACGACGAGCTAATCTGCACGTGAGCTTCCTTTGAAGAGCTAGATAAGCTGCAAGCCTCTGCTGATGGAAAGGATGCTCCTGACCTAACTGCCAAGGACATCACTTTGTTTCCTGACTGCAGAGTGTTTTATTGGGTCCCGCTGCCCATGGAGTAAGCATTTCCCTCCTGGACCACTGTTCCCTACATTGCTCTGGATGCTGTCAGTCAACTGGGCAACAACATGCACCATGGGGTCAGGATCACTGCAAAGAACGGTTGATCTGCATATATGATACAGTCATGCAAATAAGCATGCAAAGACTTGGACAAGGTGTTGAGGTTGGACCTTTTGTTCCAAATCACGTTTGGTCAAAAAGTTTTCTTGGCATGGATTATAACGACAAAAAATGCTGGTTTATGTGGATAGAAATTCCTGCAATTTTAACACAGGGATTGGAGGGAAAACAGAAATGAGAAGCTTTTTGTTGCTCCAGTCTTCAGGCTAAATAAAATCCTTTTGTTTCCAGGTTTTTTGGTTTATTTTTTCAGTTGGTTGGGTTTTTTTTTAACGAAAAGATTTTTTTTTTTTTTTAATTACATTGAGGAGCTTTTTGGCTTTTCAATGAAAAGTGGAGAAAACATGAAAAAAACCAACCCCAAATCAGGCAATTTTAGCATTTCATCTCAAACGGCAGCGGTTCCTTGGGAACAAAACCTCTGCCTGCTGCCCCTGCAGCAAAAAGCTGCTCCAGAGCAGGAGGACCCCATTTGCCATGCACGGTCAGCACCTTGTCCCAGCCGGAGGATGCTGTGGCTGTGAGGGAGTAACAAGCAGAGAAGGCTTACAGCACCACGAGGCTGCTGAGGTTCTGGAAGGCATAATCAGGGATGTGCCAGATCTGGTTGAGAGCCAGGGTCATGGCTTGCAGCGCTGGCAGGTGGTTCAGAGCTTGGACAGGGATCTCCGTCAGGGCATTATCATCCAGCCATAGGTGACGCAAGGAAAGCAGCCCCTCAAAGCTCTTCTCGGGCACCACAGAGATAAGGTTTGCATCCAGGCGTCTGAGTGGGAAAGAAACAGGGTGGGGATAAGTGAGAGATGGATCTAGCGTTCCTTTATGTGCCCGCAGTATTGTGCATAGGGAATTTTGATGCCGAGGCGGGATGGATTGATGGCCAGGGAGATTGGCTTAGGCTGTAAATAGTGATTAGCATAAGGCTGTGCTTGGAGATGTTTGACCACTACCAGTGAGGATCTCTCCTTGCTGGCCATTTAGTGCTGCCAGCTAATGGCAGCTTCTTAAACAAGCGGTTGGCCTAAGTCCTTCCACATGGACCCACCAGATGGACATTGGCCAGCAGCGGCTTGCAGGCACCCCACTTCAAAATGAGCATCAAAGCTGCATCCCCTGGGGCTGGGCTTGCCATGGATCTGCCTGAGCTGATCTGCAGAGGCACAGCCCTACCTGGGGTACCCCACACCTGCTCACACCCACTGCTGCAGGACAGCCAAACCGTGGGGCCAAAGCCTCATTCCCAAAGAAAAGGGTTTGTCTGGAAATGGGAAATATGGGGCAGGCCTGCTTGGGGGTCTGTGTTTGAGCCGAAGAGCCAGAGCTACCTGCAGCAGCACCGCGAACGAGTCAGACCATGTGTCATGGTGCAGGAATTAAGCTTGTGCTCGCTGTATCGCACATGTTCAGGCCTTTCTTTCTCCTGCATCTGCCAATTGCTTTTTCTCTGTTTCCTTTATTACACTATGGAAACCTAAGGCGGTTGAATTTGAGATTTAATTTGGTGAGAAACTTTAATTTTTAAGGCTTGTTTTTGATCCAAAATAGAATCAGAAGCCAAAAAATATCAGGCTTATTATGGAAAAAAAAAGAGAGAAACTAAAAACCTAGGATTGGGAATCATCTCTGTTAAAGATCTGTTATGTCCACGGGGGTGAGCAGGATACAATGTGTTATCTGTAGATTTCAAAATCAAAATCTAAGAGAAAAACACTTCAAATCTGGATGAAATACCAGGAACCAATTATCCAGGGAGAAAGCAAATTCTGATTTCCATCTGCAGCCAACAGAGCTTATTTTATTTTTCGAAGCTATCTAAAGGAAAGATCTCTGAATTCAAATTGCAAAGAGAAAGCACCCTGTCCCTTATCGAAACAAGAGAGAAGGGAGTTAACAGCCCTCAAATCAACAAACCTCCACAAGAGAATGGGGTATAGAAATCGGTAGTTTTGACTACTTAAAGTAATATTTTTGATGGAAGTTGGACACTGCAGCAGACCCAACCACTTTCCCCCCTGGAATGAGGTAAATCCAAATAATAAGGAGCAGAAAAGCAAACCCTGCAGCAGAGCAGGGGAAGATTAAAGACTCTGGTTGAAAATTTCCATCCAAATGTTTTGGGACAAACAAGAGCTTCTTGATTAAAATGAAAACTTGAATGGGAAATGTGAATCTTTGCTTCATTTTCCCGTTCCTTCTTCGGTGTAAGAATTGTTTGGTTTTGGCATCATATCTTTCCCAAAACCAAAAAAGTGCTGCTTACTTCTCTCAGAGACATTCTTTCACCCAACTCCTTATATTTTCACTGAAAATAGTTTGAAAATGAATGCTCTGTTTCAAGTTTAATTAATTAAAGAACAGACAATGAAATAGCCACTGAGAACAGTTGTAGTTTTTCAGAACTAAATGGCAGGGGGTTGGAACTGAGTGACCTTAAGGTCCTTTCCAACCCAAACCATTCCACGCTTCTATGGAGACCCTAAAACGGAGCCAAAGGCTGGTACATTGTGCTGAGTATCCTGAGCCATAAACACTGCAGTGAAAGCACCAGCATGAACCACAAGGGAGTTTGACTTCAATGTGATGGTGCACCAAGTGTTGGAGAAACCATTAACGGTAATGGGTTTGCTCCGTGGCTGTTTAGCATATGGCCAGGAAAGGCTCCCTTTCACATCCATGCTCCGCAGGTATAAGAGAAAAGCCAGTGAGGTAGCATGGGTCCTTTATGGGATTTTGAATGGACTCGGACACCTCCCTGTCTTTGTGGATCCCTGGGTAACTTGGATTCATCTAAGGAGTTTATTAACGCACTAATGAAGTTAAAATTAGGAACAAGGATGTGTCCAGGTGAAGGCATTTCACACACAGCGTGATGGGCAGGATTCCTTAGGCGCCTTTGAAACATGGGCAAGGGAACATGGGCTAGGTAATGGCTATGGTCCTGGTACCCAAAGTGTCTTTGGGTTGTTTAATTGCTCTTCAGGGAGCTGCTGGCTCTTTCTGGAATAGAGGTGCATTCTTTCTAATAAAAGCTGTGCATGTGGGGATTGCTAATTGCTATGGCTTTCAGACAGCTCTCCACTCTCTTTTGGAAGAGAAGTTCTTGGCACAGAGTCGTCAGTAATTATATCAATTATACTAAACAAAAACCAACCCAACAGTTCTCTCCTTTCTTCAGTGTGTGACTCTGGCTCCGTAAGTGTTTTGTGTTATGATTTATACCTAAGATAATTGGTCCGATTAGTGGGTAAATGGGACAGCGCAGGCTGGGGCTGGCTCCTCACCTTCCACGGGGATGTTTTCATCTTTGTTTCACCAAATCACTCAGTTGGTTTTCCTTGCAAGGATTAACCCATTTGTTGCTTACAGAGGAAGATGCCTCTTCCACGAAGCACTGCCAAGGCCACCACTAACCCATGGCACTGAGGGCCTTGTCATCATGCTGTATGAACACTTGCAGGGATGGTGGCTGCAGCACTGCCATGGGCAGCCTGTTCCAGTGCCTGAGCACCTCAATGTCTCTCTCGTAGTGAGAGGCCCAGAGCTGAACACAGGATTTGAGGTGCAGCCTCCCCAGTGCCCAGTGCAGGGGGACAATCACTGCTCTGGCCCTGCTGCCCCACTGGTGCTGTGATCTAAAGCATTCCTAGAAGGAACGAAGCAGGTAAGGAAGCCCGTTTCTAACGAGCAAACTGTCAGAACAGGGATAGTCCTCCTTCCCAGTGTGCAGAAAATAAGCCGATGCAATCAGTGCAGCCTTTCAGGAGTTCAGGTGTGAGGGGTGTGTGTAGCTGACAGTGCAGTGAGCATGTCGTAAGTTTTGTAGTAATTCTAACAAGTCAAGCGATAATCTGAGATTTTTGGTTTCCTGTGCCACAGACCCAGCAGTTTCTAAGACCTGTCTTGTTCCAGTAACTGCTTCCCGGTGTTTCAGAGGGTGTTTCCTAGATATCTACAAGCACAAGCATCCTGCTGTCTGTAACATGACTGGCAGAAGTTTGCAGCAATGGATAACCAGAAACAGTCTCTCTGCTCCCTAACAGATGTGGTGCAAATCTCAGGCTACTACTGACAGAAGCGACTTCATCCAGATCTTTCCAGCTCCTTCTGGATGTGGAGTGTTTGCAGGGAGCGCAGACTGGGAACGATAACAATGCACAATGCCGTGCTCTCAGGAAATAACCCAGACCTTTGCTGCTGTTCCTCCTTGCACACAGTAGTGCCAATAATAGCTGGCTGCCTGGTTGCCTTAGACAAACTATGTGGAGTAACCTGTCTGTAGAACAGACCCTCTGATGTTCCTCCACTGCCCACAGCCAAGTCACGACAGGACAATGGGACCTCAAGCTCCAAGCCATCCTCACAGTATTTTTTGCAATATTATCATAGAATCATAGAATAGTTTGGGTTGGAAAGGACCTTAAGATCATCCAGTTCCAACCCCCCTGCCATGGCCAGAGACACCTCACACTAAACCATATCACCCAAGGCCTCGTTCAACCTGGCCTTGAGCACTGCCAGGGATGGAGCATTCACAACCTCCCTGGGCAACCCATTCTAGTGCCTCACCACCCTCACAGGAAAGAATTTCCTCCTTAGATCCAATCTAAACTTCCCCTGTTTCAGTTTGAACCCATCACCCCTTGTCCTATCACTACAGTCCCTAATGAAGAGTCCATCCCCAGCATCCCTATAGGCCCCCTTCAGATATTGGAAGGCTGCTCTGAGGTCTCCACGCAGCTTCTCTTCTCCAGGCTGAACAGCCCCAACTCGTGCTATTATTTCCCTTGATAAAGTTGAAGAAAGCTTGCCACCAAAGATCATATGAAGCATTGGGTGGTAGAGAGCTGGGTTGTTCTCTCTCCAAACTGGTGAGCTCCTCTGCATCTTGATTATAGGTCAACAGCTCAGCATAGGACATAAGGAAGGGATGGTCTGGAGGGTCACTGACCCGGAGCAGTGGGAGGAGGAGCTGGCTGCACACCCCTTCCTGAGACCACCCTTTTCTTGGGGAGCAAGGTACTTGCTGTGTTCCTGGCCCCGGCGTGCATGTGTGTCGGCTGAACAGAGCTGATCTCACCAGAAATGTCTAATTGGTGCCTTCAGGCAATCATGTCTCTCTTCCTGTCTGAGTTTATCTTGAAAGGCTCGATTGAGTTACCTCCTATCCCATAATAGGATCTAAGTTCCTTGTAGTAACATAAGAAGGAGATGATGTCACTGCAGCTAAACTGCTCCGATAACTTACTAATGACTGGGGCCAACACCTCAGGTCCTTTCTCAAGCAAAACTCCCAGACACACTGAGTCAGTACCTGGCTTGTGAGCTCCTGGGGAGCTTGCCGTGCAGGGAGGGAGCATGGCTCCAGAGCCCTGCAAAACACCCTGCTCAAAGCACCCTGTCCTGCCACAAGGGTCCCTGAGGCTGCTCAAACAGCCCAGGTGAAGAGCAAAGGTTCTTCCATCAGCAGATACCAAATGGAATAGGAAAAGGCAGCAACGGGTTGCAGTGCTAACCTGGAAGGTGCAAAACTGGGTTCAGTTTCTGCTCTGCCCACTGTGCCCTTGTGGTCATAACGTACTGCAGATACAGTGGGAGACTGGATCTGTTGGAATTGGTCTAGAGGAGAGCTACAGAAATGGTCAGAGGGATGGAGAACCCTTCCTAGGAGGGGCTGTGAGTTGGGGTAGTTCAGCCTGGAGAAGGCTCTTGGGAGACCTTATTGCAGTTTTTCAATACTTAAAAGGGCCTTGTAAGAAAGACTTTTTA